TCAGACCTCATGTACCTACACCCCACAACAAAACGGGGTGGCTGAGAGAAAGAATCGCCATCTCCTGGAAACAGCAAGATCCCTCATGCATCACATGCATGTTCCCAAACCCTTTTGGAGTGATGCAGTGCTTACCTCGTGCTTTCTGATTAATCGGATGCCCACATTCATCCTTGATGGTCATTCTCCGTTTCAGGTCTTGTTTCCCGCCTTGTCTCCGTTTCCTCTTACGCCGAGGATATTTGGGTGTATTTGTTTCGTCCATAATCTGGGTCCCGGGAATGACAAGTTCGATGCTCGTTCTCTTAAGTGCATCTTCCTTGGCTATTCTCGAACCCAGAAAGTGTATAGTGTTACCATCCTAGCCCTCGACAGTCCTTTGTGTGTGTTGATGTCACCTTCTTTGAGTCTACTCCGTTCTTTTTGGGGTCCGGTGATGCTTCTTCCTCCTCATCAGCTCCTCCTCTTCCACTTCCCGTTGTCGACCCTCTTCCCTTGGTTCCAGCCGTGACCAAACCCTTGCCTCCGGTGCCACCACCAGTTGAACGCCCACCTATCCGCCATGTGTGTACACATCGCCCACGCGTACCAGCTACTACTCCTCTGGCTACATCTCCGTCGACGGATCAGGCACCAGACCCGCACTCAGCATCTGAGCTTGACCTCCCCATTGCTTTGCGGAAAGGTAAACGCACTTGCACCCTTCATCCCATTTCTAATTATGTTTCACTTACTCACATTTTCGCTTCCCATTGCCAGTTTGTCACCTTGTTATCATCAGTTGTTGTCCCTAAGGATGTCCAGGAAGCCCTTGCCTCTCCAGGGTGGTGCCGAGCCATGGAAGAAGAACTCTCTACCCTTCATCATAATCATACTTAGGACCTCACTGCTCTTCCTCCTGGGAAGCAAGCTGTTGGTTGTAAATGGGTTTATACGGTCAAGTATCTGCCTGATAGTAGTGTTGAACGCCTGAAAGCGCGATTGGTTGCAAAAGGGTACTCTCAAACCTATGGTATTGACTACACAGAAACCTTCTCACCGGTTGCTAAGATAGGATCAGTTCGTGTTGTGATCTCTCTTGCAGCCATGTATGAGTGGCCACTAATATCAGCTTGATATCAAGAATGCCTTTTTGCATGGTGACTTACTCGAGGAGGTCTACATGGAGCAACCTCCAGAGTTTGTTGCTCAGGGGGAGGATGGTAAGGTGTGCAGACTAAGGAAGGCTATATATGGGCTTAAACA